ATATATATATATATACTAATCTTTGAACATAAAAATTTTAGAAATGTTTGTAATATTATCTGCAAGTTTCTAGGTCGAGTATTTTTTCACAGACAATATTATTTTGACATACTTAATTTTCAGACACGATAAAACAGTATCAAGTTCATCTGAGAAAGTATGAAAACGATGATAAGTTGGTGATTCTGCAGGCCGTGGACAAACCAGGATCAAACCCTGGTGACAATTATACGTCAATGTTGATCAGAACGAAGCTTATTGGTACTCGCGGAGATGGAAGTCGTTAGTTATTTTTATTTTTAATTTTATGTTATTATTAAGAAGAAACAAAAATTATCGGTAGACTCAATGTTTCATCCAATAGAATGAAATAATTTTCCGTTATATAACATTTAACTCAAGACTCTATTGTTAAATAGAGTCTTGATAAAGAAGAAAGGAGATGAAACAATCCTGTGTATTTGTTTATCAGTTTATTTGTTTAATTTAAAGTAACGTGTAATATTTAGAGAGAAGAGCACATCTTTTATTTTTTTCTTTTTTTGTTAAAGAGTTATTTTACAGATAAATTTTAATGACTTAGTTTGTATTTAAAAAATACTAGATAAAAATGAATTTTATTAATTCATTTTAATTGTATGTTATTATATTGTTATTATAACTTGGCTTATTAATAATTTATTAGAATTTTGCAAAATTAATAAATTTTGTAAAATTCTAATAAATTATGATTCATAATATATTGTTTGAGTTGAAAATGTATTTATTTAGTACATAAAATAAACCTTTGTAACGGATATAATTAATTATAAATAAATAGTGCAGCGAAAAATGTGTAACTATTGAAAGAACTTTATTAAAATTGATCTTTGATCCTATTACTGTCAACTGATTTAATTCATACTTTACATTATATATGGATCTTTGAGTATTTACTTAATGCAGAAAATAGAAAATTTGAAAAAGTTAAAGAAAAGATTTTTCTGCAAAATTTTGTAGACAGTCGGACAAACAGACAGACGGACGATTGGATCAACACTGTGAAATTATAAAATAGTTTGTTACGTTGCACCATTTAAATAAAAAAAAGTATAAATGTAGCATGCATACATATATACGTTTCTTCTCTTTCCATGTTTATGTGTAGCATATGCCAAGACATTTATGACGAAGATGATTATTGGAGATAAAAAAATCTCCACCTTACTGGACCTTTATGATTTATTTCGTATTGAGGTAAATGCATATACAAAAATATTGCCCATACTTGGGCCTTTTGGTCCGCCATGTGTATATGCTGAGCAGGATATTATAATAATGGAAGATTTGGCAGAAAAAGGATATGTCACCTGCGAAAGGCGCAACTTTCTGGGCTTAGATCATTCTGTTTTCGTCTTAAAGGTACGTTAACAATTGGATTCCAGAATATATACTACTTATCTTATCTCAGTATAGAAATAGTATAGAAAATAGTAAAATGCAATAGATTAGAAACATAATTATCTAAAGTGTTCTAAATTTTTTGATACACCGCTTGTAGGAAACTAAACTGATCGTGAGTCGAAAAATCTACCCTTTTACAATTTTTGCAATAGTCAATGAGATATTAATTTTTAAAGATTGCCGAATAAGCCGATAAAATCGACGTATAAATCATTTTAAGATATTTTTTAGAGTTTTTTATGAAATATATTTTAAAGATATTTTTTTTAAAGATTCTTAAAGATATCTAATTTAAAATTGTTCTGCTTATTAGGTAACTAAAAAAAAATGCGAAAATTGCAAAATGGTAGAAGACTTTCAACTCAGTTTAGTCTACTTTACTTGCCCATAAGCGGCGTATCAAAAAGTAAGACACGCTGTTTAACATCAAATTATTTGTTTTTTTTTTCTTTAGGATGTAATTAGATTTGTAAAGTATATTGAGATAATCAATACTTAGATAATTTATTATCAGGAGATAATGAGAAATTTTTCCTCAAGAGAAATAAATAAAGATATTACTTTAACTGACTGTTTAGACAGTTAGTAAACTTTAAAGGTTATAAAGTTTTGTTGTAGATGACGTGAGACAAGTAAAAGTGTTGTTAGACACAGTATTGTTACAGTTAGATACAGTAATAATAATAATAAGTATAATAATAGTAGCAGCAGCATATTATAGTCAGACCTTAGCTTCGTTTATCTTATCGCGATAGTCGTTGATAATTATTAATCATTATGATTAGAATGATATTATCTGTAAATCCAGAAATGAATTTCAAATATGATTAATTATTGATTAATGTCACAGATGAACATGATTAATGATACGATATTTATATATGACATGTACATATTTGTCAGATTTTTATGCATGAAAATAATATCAAACAAGAATTTCAAAAGCTGTCCGTATTCACACAATTACAATTAATAACACTGATACTGATACATCTCGAATTTTTTAAATTAACTATAAGTTGAATGTTTTTAAGAAAAAAATTTTAGATAACACTTTCTTTTCTCATATCTTAATTTTTATTTGCGTGTTGGGAAGATAAGTCTCATCGGAGATAAATCTTAAAATTTAGAAATTAATAGCGAAATAATATTTTATTAATATTATCTGTATTTTATTATTTGTTTATAAGACTGTTGCTAAAAGATATTTAATTTTTCATCAAAAATTGTCTTTATTTTTTGAAAAATTTATCAACATATAATATGTAATTCTTTTGACTTATATCAGTTTTTAGAAATATTTTTATATTTATTTTATATCCAAATAATAAATGTTCTTGCTTGTCTAAATTTCATCCAAATATTTCATTTAAATTGATAGCACATATTTTTTATATTCTCGCAGAGACTTGCCAAGTTACACGCGTCGGGTCTATCTATAAAAATCAATAATCCGCGGCAGTTTGACAAGTTGAATGTGCATCTGGAAGAATTAATATACAAGGACAATTCCGATACATCGGTAATAAGGTTGTGTACCGAAATGTGTGTGAGATCGATAGTACAATATTTAGATATGATAAAGCCACGAACGCAAGAATTGCAGACTGTTAGAGATTATTTTGCCAGCCTCGATAAAACTTATGACATGTTGCGTCAACTGTTTATGTCGCCGAAGCAAAAATACGATACGATCTGCCACGGTGATCTGTGGATCAATAATTTGCTCTTTCTGCATGACAATGACGGCAAAATAATTGATCTAAAAATGATAGATTATCAAATAATCAGGTATACCTCGTTAAGCACGGACATCCTTTACTTTATATATAGCAGCGTGCAATCGTCGCTAATTGAAAAGAGTTTCGAGAGTCTCATTAAGATCTATCATAATGAGTTCATCAATGAACTCTGTCGATTGCATGTAGATGAGAAGATTCTAGCGGAGCTCGGAATCGAGTGGCTGCAGAAGGAGTTGCAAACTTACGCGCTATTTGGATTGCTCGTTGGATGCTTTTTGGCAAATCCGATTTTAGCGGAGGAAAAGGACATTCAGCAATTTGAAATGATTGATTTCGGCCCGTTGAATCCTATGTATCAAGGCGATATCAATTCAGAGATGAATCAGAAGAAAATCGATCGCATCAAATGTATCGCATTTCATTATCACAGAAGATTTAATTTAGGTATTATTAATGATGATATCGAACCAATTCCTGTTACGAGATAGTATTAAGATTGCTTAATATATATAAACATTTATTATTATCATTTAATGAACAACTTTGTAAACTTGTGTTTAAGAGATGTAAAAAAAGCAATTGTACTTTAAGCCTGTTTCATATAAATAATGTAGCGTGTACGTACATTGTATGTCGTATTTATATTGTATCCGAAAATTATTGAAAAATGCAGCTAAACACTTGGCGCTGCTAGATATCGAATTATAATTATATAGTAATAAAAACATAAATGTAACATTTAAACTGAATAAGAAAAATAAGAAACATTATGAGAATAAAACATCTAGCGTGGTATACGAGCGAGACATACAATCGTGCGGAGTTAGAATTAAAGTTTTGATTGTTTGTATTATGAAAATTGTGAAAGCGATTAGATTAAGTCTAAGATAATAAATAAATTTAGATTGATAAGGTTATGTGTTATGAATAAAAATTAAATAGTAAACTTTATTTATTTTCAGTGTAACATTTAAATTAAATTTATTATTATACTGAAATTGTTGGTAAATTATTTTTATTATTATTTCTTATTAATTACTTTTATCAATTATGTAGTTAAAATTTTTAAACTTTTCTTTATTTTTTTCATTCGATCTATCAGCGTCAAGTGTTTTTTTTATATAAAACAATGTTCTATTTAAATATGGAAATAGGAAGATTTTACATTCAATAGGAATACAAAAATATATAATTAGGTTACATTGTACAAAAATTAAAGATTATACTAATCAGATTATATTCTTTATTTAATTTGATGTGGGATTAACTTGATGCAATTATTGATGTCAAATTTTTTACACGAATAACGCATACTATTTAGAATGAAAAAATGGAATTACTTTGACGCTAATTGTTGATATCAAATCTTTTATATGATATAAATGATTGAGTAAGTAAATTTTCTGTCCCTAACTTTTTGACACACGTTTGTGAGCAAATAGAGCGGATTAAACTGAGTCAAAAAATCTTTTATCATTATAGTAATTTTTTTAAATTAATGGGTAGACTGTTAAAAATTGATGATAAAGCAATTTTAAGATATTTTTAAGAAACATCTTTAAGATATTTCATAAAGAACTCTGAAAGATATTTTAAAGTTGTAAAGATAATCTTATACATTGATTTTACTCGCTTATCTTTAGAAATTAATATCTCGTGAACTATTGCGAAAGTTGCAAAATGATAGAAGACTTTTCGACTCAGACTTTACTCCGATCTATCTGTTCACAAGCGATGTGTCAAAAAGTTTGGGATATTTTGTATATTATACAACAAATGAAGATTATTTTAGAAATCATAGAAATTTAATGCGTTGGTAGGACATAAAGGTAAATGGTATAATTTACATTGACTCTAAGTTGCGTAAATTGTTTCCTAACAAAACCGTTGAGTAACGATGTTCTAAACGGTGATTTGTGCAAACGGCGTTTTTCTCACAACACAATTTCGTCGAACTCGTGCCGAAATCTATTCGCGACGTCCGTCTGTTTCATCGCTGCGGTATTATTCCATTATTTCAAAGCGATATTCTACTGTGATTATTGTTACCGACGAGACCGCATTACGGACATTTCAGAATGAAGTAATCCCTGATGTTTATTAGCCTCATTATTTTATATTACGCGAATGAAGCGTAAGTTAATAATACTCATTTCTTCGAATATTACTAACTCAATTCACTTGAAAGGTCATAAAAATAGTATCGTGGCCAAGCGATATCTGGCATTTTTATCAAAATGATTTTTATTTACGTAAATTACATTAGTATATAGAAATATCAACCAATAATGATATCAGCTTTAATCACATTTGCATGATTAATAGGCATATCCATAAGTTTAATCAATGCTTTTAGAATCAATTGAAAAGAGGAACGGAAGGAGGTATAGAAATATATAATTTCAATCAAATTTCGTGTGCAACTACATGTTGCACATAACAGAAAAGTGAAAGATCAATGGAGAAAGCCGCAGTAATATCGAAGGTTAAATCATTCGACATCGCGCTGCATCTACGATTTCGTATAATGGTGGAATTAATCACGGAACGATGCAGAGTTATGTCGTTTGACTAGGACGGATGCGTACGATAAGTTAAGGTGTCAGTTTCGCAGCTTGTGCAGCGAGCCAATGTCCCAGGGCGTGGGAGCGCGTGTCGCTTAATTACCACACACCTCTCATCTTATCCCACCGTACGTCGGCAGTGTGTTGCATTGTTCCGCGCACAAGCACGCGGAAACACGCGTGTAACACTGAGAGGCATATTAAAATGCCGGAAGGACGCGTTCTCTCGCGCCTCTCGACGTTACGTGGCTCCTGCCTTGTCTATTGTTCGACGACGCCGCGTCGGTGTCCTGGGCCGCCGCAGTAGAAAGACATTGATAAGAATCCACGATCTCGCTGGCGGATTAAGGCTCTGACGACGTAACGTTACATCGTCCCACACCGAGAGGAGTAAGGAACATTTTTAGAAAGTAACGAACATCGACGTTGGACGATCATTATCTTCGTTCTCAATTCTCGCCTGTAAGTTTATTTCTCGCCACGTTTGCCGATCCCGTATTCATTATCGCGTGGGGCGATAATAATTATATATGACTCGTGTTGTACGGCCGTAGAAATTATGTATCGCAATATATTGCCGATCGATTTGCTCGCCGCGTTTGGTAGTGCGAATTTCACGATTTATGTGTTTTCATTTCACGACCCTATCGGATCGTGTCGGTGTAAGCCAACACAAGCTTTGACTATCTGTCAAGCGCATCGGATACCACATCCGAAAGCCTTGGGAAATACACCGCTATGGAATGTTGAATTATTCTTTTCAATTATTGGAAAACGTAATAACTTCATTAATAATCTTTTTTGGTCACTGGGACTGTATAAAGTTTAATAAACTTTGTTATAACAAACTAATAATCAATAGTCGACATCACTTAATTAATCGTTGTTTATCGGTACGTCCAATCTTTTGTAAGAATTATCTTTGATGAAATACGTAATGGCTTACGTATAGAAAAAAATAATAATGTTGATAATTAGCTTGCGGTCTATTCACGATTTCTTTGCTTTAATTAGAAAAATTTTATGTTAAGTTATATCTGTAATTTGTAATTAAGTAAAAATTCTGATTGTTTCACAAAGAACTCCAGAGAATTCCTGTTGAGTTCCAAAAGAATTTAGATGATTAACGTTTAAAGCAATATAAAAGTAAATACGAGAAATTTTGAAAAAAATTAACATTAAATTGGAAGTATAAAATATAAGTACACAAATTATAAAAGAGAACGAAATAGTGGAAGGTATAATACACTGATTTATTATTTATTAATTACTTATTAATTTAATTTTATATTAATTATGTTTTTGCAAATTGCAAAATTTATCATATTTTAATTTCTGCTGCACGTAATATTAAATTTCAATTACAGATTTTAATTGACCAATAGTATATTTGTTAAACATTAATTTGAATGCATCTCATAATACAAGGCTGACGTTGTGTTGGCTTCGGGACAAGCAGTTTTACGAGCTCTGTTTAATTGATAAGCAAAATTCATATGAATCTATGAATCTATATTGGATTATTTTTCATTGTAATATTTTATCGTGTCATATAAATTCGGGACTCATTGCTTGGTTTCCGAATATTACGAGTATTTTGATTTTTAATGAATAGTTAATGAATAGTTAAATTTTGTAAAAATCATAATTTTGACTTTTATGCAGCCAAATAATTATTTTTATTTTTTAATGTTTGTGTGTTCCTTGGAATTCTTTTACAGACAGTTATTATTGGAAGGTAGTATTTAATTACTTATTTTGAGCTTATTAAAAGCACTGAACAACAGAAGAGAAAAATAAATTCGGTCAATAATCGATTAAAATAATATATTATTTTGACTTTTTTGTTTTGCTGAGATCGATTTCTGTAAAGGTCGTTTATATTTTCAGTCTATATTATAATTACTAAATCATAATATATTTATCTATAATTGTGTGTTCGCACATTTAGCTTACAACATAATGTAAGATAATAGTCGTTATTCGAGAGACAAGCGTATATTATTTATTGTCCAAAATTTGAGAAATGCACGAACGCGAAGTTACGAGCAACAGGTGTAGCTAGGTGCAGCATCGCTGCGTCATTTTTAGCACGTGAAGTTGGCTGCATGTGCACGCGCGCTTGTCGCTTGTATGTCGCTCCCCTCCAATCCTCCGCCATCTTAGATGCGTTGATGTTTTATTCGCGTCGTCGTGAGTTTCGAATGTGCCGGTAGTTTCGTGTGATTTTATTTTTTCACGCTGTCGTTACGTGATTAAGTACGCGATCACGATGAACATTGGTACATATCATACAAAATGTCGTGCGATCGTTGTATTTGAGTGATTAGTGCGTTTAATTGTAACTAACATATTTTCGCAAACGGATTTGTCAGTGCCATTGGAGAAACGATTTCTATGGGAGAAAAAATGGGAGGGAGGAAGAAGGAAGATCAAGAAGACATCGATAGAAGATGGAATAATTACGAGGTGAGCATTTTATAATCCATTTCGTTATTCATTATTAACAGAAATAATCATCGTTCAAAGTATAATTTTAGATTTATAATATTATATGTACATACCTATACAAAGTGGCCTTAAATTACGATATCACCTATCCTGAGCAGGTAGAGCGGACTAAACTCAAATACTATCAACTTTACAGAAAAACAGTAACAGATAAAAACTATTTTCTTCTCATAAAGTTCTGAGAATTTTTTCAAAATTTTTTCATAATTTTTTAATATCGTATTTTCTCATATTGCTAAAAATAACAATGCAATATATACTAAATATATACTAAAAAGTTGATCAAAGCATTGTTATTTTTAGCAATATGAGAAAATACGATATTAAAAAATTATGAAAAAATGTTGAAAAATTTCTTAGGTTTATGAGAAAAAAATAAATGATTTTTATCTCTTGCAGTTTGTAAAGTTGAT